AATTTTGTTTTCTTTTAACATTTGGAGAATGGGGAATGATTCGGACCCTTTTGTGCAAACTCATAGTGTCTCACATCTTGACGGAGATCATCCATTCCAAGCCCAGCTCAGGAGAGAGCAGGAGGTCCGGTTTCTTAGGGGCCAGCCCCTAGAGTCTGACCTTGTCCACGCTGGCAGTTCCCCGGGGTGCTTAAGGTGTGACTAGGAAGGGAGCGAGGGTGCTACCCGTCCTGCGTGTGGTCTCATTTTCAGTGTTTGTGGGAGCGGCCCCTCGCTCCAGACGGGTGGCACAAAGACCGCCACTGGCCGTCCAGGGGACACGGGGGCCTCCGAGATTCGATGCGGAGCGGCCGGCTCCCGGTCTGCCCGGCTGCGAGGGCGCTTCCCAACTCCTAGGTTCCGCTGAGAAACCGTAGGATCAGGGACCGCCCTCCCATCCCTGGCCCCCGAACAGCCCCACTGCAGCACTCAGAGGGGTTCACTCCACCTGGGACCGAGCTCTCCCCCTCGGCTGCTCCCGAGGAGAGACCTCAGTAAAGTCGTGCAGAGCCACTCGCCTCGCCTCTCCAACCCTAGCCCCTGGGATAATGCTCCCTTAGCAGCTTCCTAGGCCACCTCCATTTTTGGTTGTTGTTTTGGTTTTGTTTGCATTTTCTTTTCACAGGTATGGTTCCAGAACAGGAGAGCAAAGTGCCGAAAGCAGGAAAACCAGATGCACAAAGGTGGGTTAGGGGTGCGGGCCTGCCAGGAGGGGTTGGCCGCGGATCCTGGGGCGCCTTCGTTGCTCACCCGGTCCTGTTTCTCCCCGCAGGTGTGATCCTGGGAACCGCCAGCCATTTAGACGCCTGCAGAGTAGCCCCTTATGTGAATATGGGAGCCCTGAGGATGCCTTTCCAACAGGTAGTTAGCTTCGGTTTTATTTTACTTTTCCCCAGCAAGCTCTGACCCTCTTTCGTTTGCACGGGAGTAAGCCGGACACGTTTACAAGTGCCATTTATATAGAAGTTGGCACGTATTTAAAACAGGCTGTAAAACTTGGTGAAGGAGCCTCCGCCCGGCTTTCGGGAGCTCAGCGCCCCTCGGGACTGGGTAGGAGGCCGAGTGCGGGGGTCCCGCAGCCCCAGGAGGCGCCGCTGGTGCTCAGGGCCCCTCGGCTGCGGTGCGATGAGCTGGTACACGGCCCCAGGGCCGCCCGCACACCGAACTGGCCTCCCGGGGTGCATCGCCATCCTGGGGCGGGAAGCGCCCGGGCAAGCCCGCCCGCACTCTGCGGGGATGGACCGGCTCGGTCCCGAGCCGTCCGGGGGGCTTCGGTCTCGGCCTAGAGCCAGATAGAGCAGCGGGAGAAGGGTCTTCTACCCGATGCGTGAAACCATCAGGGAAAAAAACTATGCGGACCCTTTCGCTGTCGTTCTCCTCTTCAGTCAGTCCCAGGAGGGCTGTTGAGATCTGCCCTTTTCCCGTGGACGAGGCCGCCCCGGAGTTGGGGAGGCTGCTCCCAGATGCTCTGCCAGTGGATGGTCAGCTGGAACAGGGGCGGGGGGGAGCGCAGGTACCGACGGCACTGTAGGGCCCAGGTCCATGTCCCAGTGAGGTGCAGCACCCCAGGGAAGGCCGCTGGGGAAAACCGGGCAGAGGGAGATGAAATTCCGTCCCGCCTCTAGCCCCTTGTAACTCTCCCTCTTTTTTTTTTTTTTTTTTTGGTCAATTAATCGGGAAATTGATTTTTTCCCAGCCCAAAGGGACCCTCCACCACCTTCTCCGTCTCAGAGACACGTGGAGCTGACAGATTAATTGTATTGATTTTTAAAAGGCATATTTGGACGAAAATAATTAAATACATAAATAAACTCTCCCCCATTCCTCCTCGAACCTACCCGGAGCTGAAATCTCTCAGTCAACCCAATGTGTTTGTGTAGGTCGAGAAAGCTCCAAAGCAAACACCAGTCGGGTATAGAAGGGACCCATGGCCAAGGAGTTTTAGCAAGGTATAAATAAACATCCTTGGAAAAAAAAAAAAGCCTGGAAAAAAAAAATTAGTTATTTAACACTTGTTGGCGCCCATGCGTTGGGCCGCATACTTACTATTTATTTATTTATTTATTTATTCATTTATTTAAAGCCATGAGCAGGAGGGTTAAGCGTCTCTCTGGGCCCCTGGTTGAGTGCGGAGCGGAGGTTTATCGTCCTGACTGCGGGGGGGCTCCGCTCACAAGTTGATCTTTTCAGTCGCCGGGCTCCCCAGAAGGGTCGGGACAGGGGAGGTGGGGTGGGATGGGGTGGGTGGGTGCGTGCCCGTTTCCATGGCCTCGGGGCTCACGCCGTGTCTCTGTCGCCGCCGCCGCCCAGGTCCAGGCGCAGCTGCAGCTGGAGGGCGTGGCCCACGCGCACCCGCACCTGCACCCGCACCTGGCGGCCCACGCGCCCTACCTGATGTTCCCGCCGCCGCCCTTCGGGCTGCCCATCGCCTCCCTGGCGGAGTCCGCCTCCGCCGCCGCCGTGGTGGCCGCTGCCGCCAAGAGCAACAGCAAGAACTCCAGCATCGCCGACCTGAGGCTGAAGGCCCGGAAGCACGCCGAGGCCCTGGGGCTCTGACACGCTTCACCCGAGCCCCTCCCCCCACACCCCGCCCCAGGTGCCCGCGGCGGGCGTGTGTGTGACCCGCACGGACCGCCGCTCTGCCCCCCCCGCTCCTCCTCATACTCCTCCTCCTCCTCCCCGGCCGCAAGGGCGAGCAGCGAGCGCTCCGGCCTCCCTGCCGCCTTCTCTTTCTTATTTTGTTTTTTTTTTGTTTGTTTCTTCCCCCTTCCCCGAGGTCTGCGAGCGCTCGGCGGCTGCGCCCTCCGGCCGCTTTCCTCGCCCGCTCGCCCCCAGGGACTCGGCGGCCACGGACGTGCCGCGTGGCGCGGTGGGGACGCTCCGCGGACACATCCACACACACACGCGCAGCAAACACGCACCCACGAGTCAGAGACTCCTCGGAGGACAAAGTAGGTGGGAGGAGAGAGAAAACAAAGTTTAAACAAATTGACAAAAAGAGAAAAGGAAAAAAAAAGAAAGGAAACGATCTCTAAATTATGTTAATCTATGAACATTGGGGACACTTTGGATTTTTGACCCTGGCAAAAGTGATCGCTCCGGCATAACGTCATCTGCTGCTGTCAGTTTTGCTACCTTGTGCATGTGTCAAACTAAACACGTTTTGAAGATCAGAAATATATTAGAACGAAACTAAACAAAACAAATAGTAATAATAATAAATAATAAATCCTTGGGGCTGGTCTCCATTAAAGATGACATTTCTTTGTTGCCAACAGTATTATTTCACTGCCATGAATCTCTTCCATCACTGAGGAGCTGCTGCTGCAGAACTGGTTTGAATTTAAATGTGGAATTTCAGATCTGAGGCAAGGCAGGTTTTTTTTTTTTTTTTTACTTATTTTCTTTCCTAAAAAAAAAGAAGCAGCAATAACAAAAAAAAAAGCGTGTCTCAAATGTCTGTGTCCTTTGAAAGGAGAAAAAGAGAGAGACTAGAAGTTATTAATTGTTAGTGATAACTTGAAAAATGGGAACAATAAGAAATGCACCTGTTTTGCCAGAATCACCTGAACTCAGAGATGCATTGAGCCATGGAAAGAGGTCAGATTTTCAATATTTTTTTTCCAAATGCCTGGATCTTTGAATCACAATCTTACTGTTTTAGAGGATGTAGAAAGAATGAATTATACAAAAAAGATGGACATATCGTTTTAAGACATAATACTGATGCAGCATTAATTTTAGTGAAATGCAATTAGGTGCAGTAAAGTGCAATACTGTAAATATTATAGATTAAAAAAAATAGCCGTACTTATTCTGTTAATAACCGATTCTGCAAGAAGCGTAACTTAAATCCTTTATGGTCAGACTGGTGCATTGCAGCTCTTTGCCAAAATGACAGTCTGAATCTTCTATGAATGGATAAAGCTGCTTGTATCACATATGGGAAAAGGTAGATGCCATGACTTCTAGTCAAATTAATGTGCCATATTTTTGGGAAACAAGATGAAAAGACTGTGTGACATTTTCACAATAATTTTAATTAAAAAAACCTCCCAACAACAAAACCAAACAAACTAAAACAACCCATAGAAGAAGTGTTTTGTAGAAGCGGACAAGTTCAATAGTTGGCCATTTTAATTTTTGCCTGTGATTTAGATGCCAAGTATTAAGCTAACGCTTAAGCAAAGTAACTACGATAAATCCAGCAAGACTGGGGAGCAGGGAAATCCTTTAAATTATATTACCAAAGTGTCTGAGTTTACTGACCCCACTTCCCAGTTTTACTTTTTTTGTTATTGACTTTTAATTAGGTTTGGTTTTTTTTAAATTTTTGTTTGAGAGGAGAGAAGAAGGTACAAATATTGGTTTTGTCTTCATCTAAAAAGCTATTTTTTGCCTTTGTTACCAAGATCTGTGTTGATGGAAGGTTATCCTCTCCATAGTACCATTATTAGGCCTGCTTTTTATGTATTGTTTAGCAATCCATTGCTAGTTTTGGCTTTTGCTGATATTTATAAAATCCAAATATTATCATAGGACAAAAATTCATCGTTAGGATAATTTTAGACACTTTTCTTCTTCTTAATTTGGTTCTTTTTTTGTTTCTCCCTCAAATTCCAATATTTTCTAGCAATCAAAGTTTCTGCAATGTCAAAGTTGTGCCATTTCCCTTCTACTTACTACATGATAAGTAGTTATATTTTTGATTTGCTAGGCCTGATAAATGTTGCCTGCCTTTTTTACCTCTCTGTAAAAGCCTAGCACCTTTTTAAAGCAAGGCTAAGATATTAAGGTAGCATTACTTCTTGCTGAGAAATACAGACCAAATCTCAGGCAATTAAGAATTTTTTTTTGAAACAAAACATTACCTAGAAAATAAAATGTTATTCATGATGACGTATGAATTTCTGGCTAAAATGAGAAATATTTGGAGTGGTTCCAGCACTTCTAAAATGCAGATCTGAAAAATAATAAACATAACTACAGAGATGGTTTAGGCTATAGTAAGTAACCTGTTGTACTGGGTACCCACAGCATTCAAGGAGAATTAGATTCACGGTGTTAAAGTATAGAGCTTTCGATTGAGTAAGGGCTGCTTGTTATTTGTACCTGTGATCTAATCATTACCATTTCAGATCCTCTTTTGAGACCTTAAAAGAAGCTTACGTGATTTTTTCCAGTCCTGTGCTGGACTTTCACAAAGGAGTGATTTTCAAGCTTGAATAATTCCACAGAATGAAGTGGTTGAAAGTGCAGGCTTGGGACCTGAATCTTCTCAGACATCTAAGTGAGGCTGAGAAGTGTTACCAATCTCACAATCTTACAGGATGCACATACAGTATGCATCCACCTTGTATGGGAAGGAATAACTTTTCCACCTTTACTGTTTTACTAGGTACAAACACAGCAAAAAATGCTTGTACATTTGTCTCAGAATTTTTGGTTCTTTCTTGTACTCAAAAAAGAGTGGAAACATGAATACAACTCCCTGCTAAGATGAAACAAGGCTGGTAGGGTAGCATACATCTTTCCAGAATGAAATATTCTTATAGTTTTTTCTGATTGCTTTCAATGGATGTCTCAAGGACATTCTTGCTCTTTACCACAGAAGGGAAGAAGGTGGCAAGATTTATCAGCTTAGCCTGTTTTGAAGGAGGTACCACAGATTGGCCTGGGGAGAGGGGCAGGGTGTTGCTGTGAATCTACCAAGGTGTTTCATGCTGCTCTTGCATTTCATTTAGCATGAAAGGAAATGAAAAGGTGCACTATGTAAGGGTTGTCACTGAAACCAGTTCTGCTTTGCTTATTTCTTGAATGGGCTGATTTCATCAGTGGTGGCATAAAAGCTTTGTTTTTGATGATGCACATAGGTGGTCTTCTCTTCTTGTCATCCTTACATCATTGGGAAGAAATGAGGCATCCTATCTTGGCTACTGTGTACTGGACTGTACTTTTCTCTAAGTGTAAGTCACTGTGGCTCCATTCACCATGTGGAACTCCAGTGATCATACAAGTTGAGATTCTGGACCAAAGCATCTACTCCATCTCTGTTAATGTGGTGTCTCTTTTTTATTTGTTAGTTTATTGTTTAATTATTTTTCTTAAGTAGGTTGGAGATTGAAGATAACATAGTAATGGCCCTGAGGTGCTTATTAAAGTTTAAAAGTATTGTAATCGTTTTAGATTCTCAGGCATGCCAAGCCTCATTTATTGTCTGCCATCGTCCAGCCTGATCCTTGTGTAATCTTTCATTTGAGAAGAGTGAGATTTCCAAGATCATCAGAACAGCAGCCACTGAGCAGAATTTCCTTGGAGGAGGCCCTCATTTAGTGTGTGTGGATTGGTAAAGAACCTTTCTCAAAAGTTCTGTCTGGTATTTGAAAAATAACTTGAATGAATGCCGAATGAAAAATGCTGTTTATAAACAAGTCTATAAAAAAGGCTTCATGCATTACGTGGGCCCCTTTATAATGGAAAAAATACATTCTGTTTTTTTTTTTTTTAAACTGTCACATGAGCTTAAACACTTCATTTATTTGTATCAAAATAGCAAATTGACTCCATGGCTCATTTTTATTGACTTGGAAACATGTGAAAAAAATTATACTGAAAGTTTTTTTGCTTAGTAGGGTCATATAGATGTAGTGACGTTTTGGTTAATATCATAATACTTAGCACTTATATAATGTTTATTTGCAAAGCACTGTATAAATGTCTATTATTTAATCCTCACCCATTATGAGCTAGGTAAGAATTATTATCCCCATTTTTTAAGAAATTAAAGCATATAAATCAAGGGCCAGGTTCCATCACCTGTTGTCAGCACTGAGTATTATTACTTTTGTTTTTGTAATGTAGGAACATCCCCCAGATCACAATCTGACATGAACTTTGTGGTGGTAGACAACTTTCTATGTAGCAGAAGCCCTGCTCCTAGAAATTTAAACTCTGACTTCAGGCAAGTCTCAAATGGCACATTTGAGACTTTGTTTTGGAGTGGCAGAATTTGCCCATGAGTTATTTCCACAGAACATGTAGTTACTGCCCAATGCTCTGACCCCATATGTCAGTGGGAATTTGGTTTATGGCTCAGTGGGGCTGAGTTGTGTCAGTGTTAAGGCTGCAACCAAATCTCTGAGTTCCCAACAGCATGCACAAATTGCTGGGAAACCCTGATTTCCAACTTCCCCTACTATAAATTTTTCACACAGACCAAATGTACAGATGTCAATTCTTTGCATGCTTTATCTGCTATGTCTTTTAGTCCTATGTTTGCCTATAAAATAATAATAAGACATGATTTTGAATTGACATAACATTGACACATTGGGACTGCTGAGTCAAATAAAACAGAGATTTAGTCTGACGAAAGTCCAAGTCCCTAAGGTAAAGCCAGAATATGGATTTTTTAAAATTGGTGACAAAAAAACCCCCGCATGTTTCTGCTTGTTTAAATGTACTAGGCAAAATAATTTCTTTTATTATTAAAAAGATAATATTAGTTTTTGGAGACAGTATTGATTTGGCAGGATTTTTTTCCCCTTCAGTTTAAGGAAAACTTTCAAAGTATAGGAAGAATAGATTACACATATTTCTTATAAATGTGCTTATTTTTGTAATATCTAATATCTAATTATTCAGGTGATGTCCTTGTAATTGCTAATTGTACT